CGTGAAAATTATGGCGGGAAAATTCATAACTCGAGAATGAGAAAAGCTAGAAGGTTGAAACTTTGGGGGAATGTTCCTTTCTCACGTACGACCGAAAACTTTCAAACTCAGCTCCTTAGGACCACCCGGCGCTTACGTATGGGCACGTGAAAATTTTGGCGCGAAAATTGCTAACGCGGGAATGAGAAAAGCTAGGAAGCTTGAACTTTATGACAATGTCCACTACTCATGAACGAGCAAAGTCAGGTGTTTAGAAGCGCCCGGGCCCATGTAGGAGCGCGTGCAAATATTGGCGCGAAAATTACTAACCCGGGAACGGGAAAAGCTAGGGAGCCGAAACTTTCGAGTAATGTTCCCCACTCATGCACAAGCAAAATCAGGTATTTAAAAGCACCGAGCCCACGTACGAGCGTGTGGAAATTTTGACACGAAAATTACTAACCCAGGAACGGGAAGAACTAGAAACCTGGAACTTTCGGAGAATGTTTCCTACTCATGTACAACCAAAATCAGGTGTTTAGAAGCACACCCGGGGCCAACGTACGGGCACGTGGGAATTTTCATTACTGTCTCCAGTTCTTGACTGACTAGTACTCTTGTTCACTCTCATCTATCGTGTTTCCAGTTTCTGCCTCCAGAGTGGCATCTGGGCTCCCACTAACCACCGCCCACCTCCAAGCCCCACCACCCCCCGCCCACTTATCACCCCTGCAGTCACGCCGTCCACCCATCAAGCGCTTAGTAGCGCTACCCGGCGCTCGCCGGCAAGCATTAATGGATACGGGAAGACGAGGGGTTTTTCACCCTTCCTCCAAGGGCTTAGGCAGTATGCGTCTTACTGTACAAAAGTATGTTCGGTACTGCCTGCCCACTCCCCTTCTCCAGAAACCTTGCCATTATTTAGTGATCAACAATAAGAGCAGGGGTGGGGGAGGATGGGGGGTGGGAGGCAGCGCGACAATCCAGAAGTGGGTTGTGAGCTAGCCAACGGAGGCGTAGTGGCAAAGGAAGAAGGGGCGGTGAAAAGTCGCCTCCCCTTCCCCTCCCCTCCCCCGCCTCTTCAGGAGATCGCCCTTATATGCAAATGCAAAAACGCATGTTGTGACGACCCCGGTGCGTGCTTGTCTGTCCGGATATTTCAACTAGGTACCCAATCAAGCTATGGCGCCAAAATTTTGCCAGTAGCTTCTCCATTCACGTGCCGCACCAGAACCGCGGTACCAGCCCTCACGTAAGTCTGAGCCCCGCGTACGACAGGGTGAAAATTTTGGCGGGAGAATCGCTAACTCGGGAACTAGAAAAGCTAGGAAGCTGCAATTTTGAAGGAATGTTCCCCGTCCACATAGAACTCAAAGATTTCAAATTCAGCCACAGATGTGCGTGGTTCCCGGGTTTTGGCCCCCTGAGGGTTTTTTGTGCGAAAATCGCTAACTTGGGAAACAGGGAAGCTAGGAGGCTTAAATTTTCTGAGAATGTTCCCAGCATGTGTACAACACAAATTTATCAAATTTATCTCCAAGGCATGCGTGATTCTCATGTACGGCTCCGTGAAAGTTTTTGGCACGAAAATGGCTAACTCGGGAACCAGGAAGGCTAGGGAGCTGAAATTTTCAGGGGATATTCCAAGCGCAAGTTCAGTTTAAATTCATCAAACTCAGTTTCCGGGCATGTGTGGTTCTCACGTAGGACCTCATGAAAGTCTTCGGCGCGAAAATGGCTAACTCGAGAACCAGAAAGGCTGGGAAGCTGAAAATTTCAGGGAATGTTCCCAGCACAAGTACAATTTATAATTACCAAATTCAACCCTTCAGTGCGTGTGGTACTCATGTACAGCCCCATGAAAATTTTTGGCAGGAAAACTACTAACTCAAGAACCAGGAAATTTGGAAAGCTGAAATTTGAACGGAATGTCCCCTGTCCAAATACTGCGCATACTATTAGCTTCCCGGACTTCGACGACCAGTATATCAAACATTTTTATTTATTGGGTTCCCGAGGGATCTCATTACAGCACGAAATATTACAAAAACGCATGGTTGCACGGGCCAACTCGGTGCGCGTCGCCAGTGATTTCGGATGTTATCATCGATTTTCTGATCTGTTTCGACTGTCCCACTTCTCCACTGCACAAATGCCATTCCCTTTACTTTGTCAACTTTTAGCTTTAGATCTTATTTGCACTTTTCACTTTTCAATTCCGAGTTTTCTTATTTTAAATTTGTAAATCGCTGTAGCCGTTGTAGCGATGAGGTCAAGTTGTGATAATGAGAAGGAATGTATACGACTTAATGGACTGTAACATTTCTTTTCCGCGGTTAATCTTTAAACTTCTATCTGCTTTGTTTTTTATTTTCACGTTATGTGATATATTACTCAAAATGCACAACAATTCTAAAAATTATAATAGCTGAGAATTATCACATTCCTTTTATTGCTATTATTATTTTTTCATGTTGTCAATATTGCTTTGGCTGCATCTTATATTTTGATTTATTATTACTATTGTTGTCATTATTATTATAATTGTTGCTACTGTCTTAAGATTTATACTAATATTATTATTCTACCTGCACTTTTTGCATAATATTATTATTCTATTCATTCACAGTAATCTAAGTACCGCAGGTTGAGACTTCACGCATCCAGTCAATGGAACACTACTGTTTTAGCTGACATCTCTCCCCCTGTTCCTCCGCCTCACCCCTCCTTTCCTTGTCCCACATTCAGGAAAAGACCTAAAACAGCGCTAACACGAGTGCACTTAACAGGCTGTGAAGGAAGCAGCATTCATACTGTTAGGGTTTGACTGCTTCATGGTTGGCGCAGAAACATACGGTCCCACCAGCAACTCTGGTGTGCGTGGCTATTAATTTGACTTATGTAAAAACGCATAAAAAATATGAACAACATTCGAAAAATATTGCGTGCAGTTCTTATTAAAATGGCCAAATGCAACTTACATCAACAAATCGCTTGCAGAGTGTAGAGTCCATGCAAATGACCACTTCACCGCTATAGCGAGCTGGATTTTCTCTCAAGCAAGTCATTCCTCGCTCCATTATTGCAGCCATGTTCCCGGCATAAATCTTAAATTTGTAAAAAAAATTGTAACAATGCTTATTTCTCTTTTGTACAGTTTACAAGATCTCTCAAGGCTTTCTTGTGCACGAATTGTAAGGTAGACTAAAAAACAACTAAAATAAAAACTGTGAATTTCGTTTACTATTACTGTTCTCCTCGACAGTTGATAGAATGGCACTGAGGGAAACATCAACACGATTTCAGCATGTTGAACTTAAAAATCACCCACATCAAAAAAACTGAACTACACCAACAATTCGTTTTATCTGAGAAGTCTGGATGGACCACGATTTTTGCATTTTGCCAAGCGCCGCATCGCATCACTAGCTATCGTAGCCATGATCAATCACATATTAAGATACAGTCGACATATTTTTTGTCAGTGGAATTTTTAGGTTTGTTTACAGAGATAGTCTTGAAAAATTTGGCATATGTGAGAGCCCACTGAAGATTCATTTTTTGTCCATTAGTAGTGAAGCAAAAATAAGAGTTTTAATAATATTTCTTTGAAATACTAAAAATTTGACATAAAATATATCAAAAGAGATGAACCTGCTCCCGTTCTCCCTCCTTCTCCTTTTCGCTGACCCCATTCTGAACGGCTGTTGAGCCTGGGCTGACAAAACTCGTCCTTGGAATTTTAGGTAATCCAAATACACCTCAATATTCACGTCGACGTAGAAGTGTTCGTTCTTTTTATGCTTTTTTTTTTGTGCTGTGAACGAAAACGCATATTTTCGGGAGGCCATCCGTGTGTGTGTGTGTGTGTGTGTGTGTGTGTGTGTGCGTGTGTGTTTGTATGTATTTATATGTGTGTGGATATATGTGTTTACTTTTAAAAGCGACTGAACTCTGCCACCCACTTCCAGCTCAGCAACTGAGAAAGCTGGGAGGCTGAAATTTTGGGGACATATTCCCATCCCATGTATCACTCTACCGCTTTAAAATCATCAGTTGTACGACTAGATCCCGCATACAGATCCGTGAAAAAATATACAGATTCTTCGGCGAGAAACGATTCCGGAAACCGGGCAAGATGGAAAGTCGAAACTTTGCATGCGTGAGCTAAAGATTTCAAATTCAGCTATCGCATACGCTTGTGCCGTGTGTAGGGTCACGTCAAATTTTGCAGGTGGCACTGTGCCGACTCGAAAACTAGCCGGAAAACAGTAGCTGAAATTTTGTCAGAATATTTGCCTTCCATATGGTAAGTCATTTACCTAAACAGACTTTCGATTTACATCTGTGCCACGACTCAGCGCACTTTAAAAATACTTGCAGCAAAGCGGGTAAATTTTTCTTACGGGACAAGCTGCTAAGCTGGAACGTTGCAGGGATATTCTATATTCATATATGGTCTTAAATGAGCTTGGAGGTGAAATTCCCCGCACATGGACGTAATAAATACTCAATTTTATCACAACTCAAAAGCCAGTGGGATTTGCGGATTTCGTAAACATCTTCCGACTTTTTTCAAGTTTGCATTTTTTCGATGAACGATCGTTCACCGGAAAAACTACCAGGCCTCATGCAAAATTCGTAATTATACACGGTAGAGGCTTATGTGACCCCACAATGCAACACTTTAGTCTCAGCCAACGCTCTTTTCCCCTTTATTCAGAAAAAGACCAAAACACAGCCAGTATGAGTCTACGTATTAATCACAACGCAATAATTATTTCTGCTGCTAACGATCTGTAAGTTTAGCGCGAAAACGTGCGATCGCATCGGCAAGCCTGGTGTGTTGTAGCCTGGAGTCTTCTTGAGCAGTTACGAATTGTCAATATTCATCTTAGAGCATAAAGACGGTCAACCAAAATGATTTGTTACATATTGATGATGTCCGCGATTGTCGTCTTGCAAGTACGGTATTCCGCCGTAATTTGAACATAGCTTTAGCGCCGCTCCGAGCAGATGCTTCTCGCCCTCACCATAAATAAATGTTGGGCGCAGAATCAATGCTTGTAGCTGACCTGAATTTTTTGTAAAAATGTAGTTTTGCATAAGCTCGCAAAATATCAGTCGCATGCATCCCGCACTCACTATATACAAATAAATAACCAGCCACTGTGCGTGCCAAGTTTGCGGTATAAACATGCGTTTTTGCTCAATTTTATGCTATAGCAAGGTCGACTCAGCCTGGTTTGCGAGTTGGCATTTGCCAACTACTGCGAAATTGAAACTTTAACACATAACTTGCGCATATGTACACATGACTACATAACTTGCGCATATGTTCGAGCTAAATTTAAAATCTTTAGCTCATATAAGGGCAGAGAATATCCCTGCGAAATTTTAGTTTCTTGTCTTATCTAATTCCCGAAATCCTTTTCGCGACAAAAAACTTGTAGAAAAATTTTAGACGTGAAAAAGTGCGAACACACAAATACACACAGACGTACACACACATACATACGCACATACATACGCACGCACACACACACACACACACATACACACACACACAAAAGCCTCACTTCAGTAAACGTTTTTGCTGTGCAGAGCTATAGCGCTGCTACTGTGAGCAAAAACGCGTATTGTCGAGAGGTCGCCGTGTGTGTGTGTGTCTAAGTATGAGTGTGTGTATGTAAATGTTCGGAAGCGGGTGAATTTTGACACCTACTTTCAACTAAGCAGCTAGGAAAGCTGGAGGGCTGAAATTCTGGCGCCCCATGTGTCACGTCCCTTTCCCGCCCCATGTGTCACGTCCCTTTCCCGCCCCATGTGTCACGTCCCTTTTCAAAATCATCGTCCATACATGCCTAGAACTCGCGTATAGACCTGAAAAAATATGCAGATTTTTTTGGCCGGAAGCGATTTCGCGAGCCAGGCAAGATAGAAAGCTGAAACTTCGCATGGATGTTTTTTGTGCATGTATGAGCAAAATTAGCTGTTGCGCGTGCTTGCTAACCAGACAAGCTGCGAAGCTGAGACTTTACAAGGATATCCTATATTCATGTGTGGCTTTAATTCGACTGGGAGGTGAAATTGAGAGGTAAAATTGAGAGGGAGATAAAACTGGGAGGTAAAATTGAGTATTATAATGCTTGCACGCAAGCATGATAATACTCAATTTTATCACAACTCAAAAGTGAGTGCGTTTTGCGGTTTTTGTAGCTATCGTTCGGCATCCTGCTCATTGTCAAATTTGCATTTTTCGATGAGCGATCGCTCATCGAAAAGCGATAGAGCTTCATGCAAAATTGAAAATCAAGCACACGGTTAGTTCACGCGCCCCATGATGCAACAATACCATTCCGGCTGATGGCCCTTTTCAACTGTAAGCAGAAAAAGGCCAAAAACGCAACTAATGTGAGTCCACATGTCAAACCATCCTGTACTATCCTGCTGTTAACGGTCGGTCTGCTGCATAAACAAGAACCCAGGCTGGAACGCACCAGGCTTACCGATGCGATCATGTGTTTTTGCACTAAACTCGCAGGAATGATCCCTGCGTTGTAGCCTAA